TCAGGTGGAACTCAGGCTTCTCACGACTTGAAGCCTGAAGTGTGGGAACGAAACGCACACTTTTGGAGGACGAACCATGTGAAGCCTTTATGCTGGAGCCCAAGCCTGCAGAGTGGTGAAGATTTTGCGGACTCGGCAATTGGTTCCCTTTGGGCCTGCGGAAGTTCTGGCCATCACGTGGCCATCTCTTCAACTGTGACGGGCTGCGATTTCCCAAATCACTTTGAATCAAGACCCCTGGAAGCCTCGAACCCTTAGTATCTATAGATGTTTGCCAACCGTTCGGCCCTGGGCCCTTCAGCCAACCGCACCACTCCGGCCGAGGTTGCCGAGCACTTTGCGCACATTGCTCGGCCCCAAGGCGGAGGCGCATGGGGGGGCAGTCAGGAACTGTGCCGCCCACGTCTCCCGTTGGAGCACCACTGCTCTGAGCAGGGAACCTTCATGCAAACACGGAGCTTGAGGTTCCATCAGATTTGCTGATGAGCTCCTTAAAGCAGCCTTCCATGTGTTCTCGTGACACAAAAGTTGCTCGTTTCGTTTCGATGGTCGCAGGCTTGGGGCTAATTACGCACGTGTCATTGCTTTTTGGCAGGTGCCAGAATGTGAGACCTTGGCGTCAACGGCAAGCTCAGACAATGAGAGAGGCCCAAAGCAGTTCAGAGTGAGCTCCGTTTGGTGTGCCCTTTGGCTCCTTTAGCTGCCTTTGGCTCCCCTGAGGCCCTGCGACACCACAGCGCGAGGAGAAGCTGGTTGAACGTGTCGCCACCGCTTTCCTTGCACATGTTGCTTGCTGTCACCCTACTGCGCAGTCGCATGAGACAGATTCTTCTGGTGCAGTTTGCCATGTGTAATTTTATTTGTGATGGTCTATTCAGTGTAGGTGTTCGTGCTTCAGCTATGACGAGTATGATTCTAGTATTCAGGTTGTCCGTTCGTTTCTCTTTGATGCTACCAGCAGCCTTGGCAGCTGAGAGCAAACATGGGTGATCCTTTGTCTTGTTTGTTTGGCCTACCTTTTTGCGATCCTCGTTTTGAGGACGAACCATGTGAAGCTTTTATGCTGCAGCCCAAGCCTACAGAGTGGCCTCGGATCTTGCGGACTTCATGGCCATTTGCTCTCTTTGGGTCACTTCAGTCACTTAATCTCTTCAACAGTGACGGGCTGCATTGATTTCCCTTCAGCCTCGGCCGAACCGACACCCCCGAACCAGCAGAACCTTCGGGGCTCGGCGTGCCGCCGCCGTTCCGTTCCTGCCAGAGCCGATCCAAACCCAAGGGGTTGGACGGATCTGGAGTTGTTGGTGCGAGGTTGCCGTTGAGCACCTTGCGCACGTTGGTCCCCGTGGAGGCGCAGTGCACGTTTGGGCAGTGAACTCGCTGTGGTGAGTGGTGGCTAAAGAGAGAGGACTGGGCTTGGCGGTTGTAGAACCAGTTCAACCTCAAGTCTTTGCTGCCCACATCTTCAGGAAGAGTGCCAATTCTTGCTTGGGAACCCAGGATTTCAGTGCTGTTGGATTCGCAGATACATGTTTGATCATTTTTGTGTCAAATGACTTATCTATACTTATCTCATAGATCAGGTGACTCTTGGGTTCACAAACTTTCTTGAACCATGAGCTGCAGCCAAAGAGTTGCCTGTCTCCATTCTCCGAGGCTCCCTAGTGCATTGCGCCCCCGTCCAGACCCAAAGCTCTTCCAGGAAGAGGCGGGTGGCAGATCTGTCAACAGACCGCCATGAACCGGCTCCATGTTTGGCTTTGTTTGGATATGGGCCGTGCACTAATTATATAGTATTATATAGATATTCCAAGGGGGGTGCGTTGCTGGAATAATTGTTTAGAATAGTGTTCATTGTTTTTTTGGGGAGAGGGGGGGCATAAAACTATGTAGTGGGGGTGGAATAATAAACTCTTTGATGTCACCCCCCAGGAGAATTTTGCTACATGTGATTGATATGCTTGAACTCAGCAACCCATCGGAACAAATGGAGCATGTTGATGTCAAAGCTCACTTGAGATAAATATTGCATGATTTTAAATCGGTTGACAACCACGGGAGAGTCCACGAGGAACAGATGCACATAATTACCTAGGAACCACTTTTAGAGGGGAGGGGGGGGCATGGACAACTTAGCAGAACCATTTTTCATGGTAGATCATGTTGCTCAAGTCAATTCTAGAATTAAAGAAACAATAATATTTGGAGACAATACCATTTCCAAAGAATGACCAAGTGCTAGAGATTCTTTCATAATGGATCACGTTGCTTGCTCAATTCGAATTTGGATTTTGGACCAGAGAGACGCAAGCTTGCACATAACAAAAGAAAGTGAAGAATTGGAGCGCACCACCATCTCCAAAGAATGACCAAAGAACAGATTCTAATTTTTTTCCCATGTTGTTCTGTTGTTCCATGAACTTTGGGTGGTCGTTGTTGCTTGGGTGTTCAATCCCGTTGGGTTCTTTTCTTTCTGGCTTGCTTTTTTTCATTCCCCTCATTCAGGCAACAGCCTGGTTGTTTGCAAATCTTCCTGGGGATGGTGTGTGGGTAGAATGTTTCAAAGGGTGCGTGAGATGTCAACAGCCCCTGGAATATTTTCTGGCCTTTGCTATGCTGGCCCGAGAAATGCAGCAAGCCTTGGGTCTTCTGGAGGTTGAATGTGGTGGGAAAATTTGTCGTTGGGTATTTGAGACGTCGCCAGCCCTTGGAATCATTTCTGGCATTGCTGCGCTGACCTTCGAAAGGTGCAGCAAGCCTAAATTGTTCTATGAACTCTGGGGTGGTCATCGTTGCTTCATTCTTCAAATCTCTTGGAGACTTTTTGTGGCGTGCTCTTTCTCCTAGAGCCCAGCAAACCAAACCAACGATGTTGACAAACCAAACTTTACAACTTGTACATGTCCTTCGGTTGTTCAGTTAAGATGTCCTCCAGAAGTCTATCAATGCCACGCAGGTACCAATAAACAACAAACCAAAGCAACGATGATCACAGAGCTCCTTGAAAGCAATACAGTTTCATTTTTGGGTTCTACATCCAAAAAAGTATTCCAATAACTGAGCCACGTCAGGAGTACAGGCACATGGTCCCCTAGCTCAGGCATAATATCTCAAAACATGATGTATACCCTATTGTGGAATATGTGTTTTGCTTAAATTATTCCGGCACGTGTAGACGGGTCAGAATATTTTAATCGAATGATGTCTAACCCACCCAGAATAGTGTTTAAATTCTTTCACCGGGGGGTAATTACATAACATCATCTAAATCAATTAAGGCACTGCCCATGACTGGATGCCGCCTTGATGTTCAAGTCTTTCACTTCAACCATTGAAGTGACCTTTGTGTATATAAATCTGAATGACAGGTAGCGCAAAGAAGGTCGAAAAGGTGACATTGCAATTCGTTTGTACTTCCATGTTCCTCCAGCCTCCAAGTGGCTCCAATCTATCCCCATGCATGACTTTGATGTCCTTTTTTCCGCAGGATGACCTTTGCGTGTTTCAATGAGCTGGGAACAGCTCGAGGGCCAAAACGGTCCGCTTTTTGTTGGGGCTTGGAACAGCTACCAGGGAGTGCCACTCAACAGGTAAACCAACTGAGCACACCTTAATTTGTTCAATTCCCAAACATCCATTTGGATTGTTTCGTGTGTGTGTGTGATTGTTTCGTTGCCGCCATCGCCTCGCGGGCTGTCCGCAGGGATTTACAGGGCTGGATTTGAGTTGAGGTTTGAGGTGGTTCAAGGTGGATTTTATGTTGGACCTTCCAGCATTTTCCCTTACGCAGTTCCAAGCCCAATCGAGTTCCGAAATGTTCTGCAGTGTCTCACCCTTCCCCCTTCGCAGCAAGATAGATCTTAGTGCTGAGAACACATATTGCATCTCTGACTGCCTGGGTGCCAGCATGGTGAACATGTTCGACATGCGACTAGAATGATGCATCGGCAAGTGAAGGATGTGATGATGTGATATGATGTGTGGAGCAGTATGCCTCATCACATACGAAGTTGCTGACCCAGAAGAGTCGGACAATTCGAGCGGACCAAGGGTGGACCCGTTGAGCCAAGTTTGGAGTGTGAGGCCCAAGGGCCTCACAACTTCTTTTTTCAGATTGATTTCAGATGACTTCAGTATATGTATACGTTTTTTTCCTTATACAGCAGAACAGCAAAATGGAACGATGATGCCGCCCAACAGAGATTTGGTCCGCAGAATGAAGCAGATACAGCCGCAATTTTCATGGCGCCTGCCATCGGTTGCCCGGACTTTCCGAAGAAGTGCTGTGAACACACCAGGACCCATCTTGGAGAATCACCTACTCATGACCTGATCGGAGTATATGGTAACGTTTGTCCAGCCTTCCAGAATCAGCTTCATTCCGCGTCATTCCGCCTCAACTGATTTCCTTCGGTACCTCGCCATAGAGGGGGGGGGGAGACTTTTGGAGAGGCCAAACTTGGAAGTCCAACTTGTCGCAAGCGAGACATGTCTCAGCATCGCTCGGGGAGCGACGGCGCTTTTCGGGGTCGCTCGGGGTCTCCAGTTTGTTCCCCACTGACACAACCCGGAGTTCCTCGAACTTGGGGGAGTTCCCCAAGCCCAAGTCCCCCAAGTCCCAGGGTGCACCCAGGGCGCGGGCCAATCCTAGGAAAACCTTGCTGGCCATGTTGGATTGTGGGTGGGGGCTTTCACCTCGCGAGTGCACGGGTCACCCAGCACTTCCTCGTTGGCTTCGACCTTCCGAACCCCGTGCAAGCGGACGTGGGAGCGCACCGTGTCTGCTCACAACAGGATTAAGAAAAAGGGCGAGGACACCAACAAAGATGGTGAAAAACTCTTGAAAAACCAAGACAGGGAGCTTTCATGTCAGTTGACAAACAAACTGGTTGAATCTCACATACTGAGCTGCTGACCACCAGGAAGTAAATTGATTGCGTTGACACACATGCAGCCCTGGACTTGATCAAATGCTCACTTGGTAGATGTACTTGGGGAGGGGCACATTTACTGTATATAAATATATATAGCTGCTTTAGCTTCATTCACCTCCGTAGCCCAGTAGCTCCTTTGGGCTCCCATTGGAGGATGCCGAAAGTGAACCCCATCGTGTTCATCGATGAGGCCTTGTTGCCCGAATCCCGCGACCACACCAGCCCGGTCGCCGAGTCTTCCTCGTGCGTCAGATCCGAGTCGATTGAAGACGTGCGTCCGAAGACTCGTGGATCTTTCAGCTGGTTCGGGTGAGACCACTTGTGACCACCCCAAAGAAATCTTCTCGATGAGAGCCAGGCCGACCAAGGTTGGAGTTCCAGTGCATGGTTCAGCTTGTTGTTATGTTATTTGCGGATCCCAAAGTGTTTAAACATACTGTATATATAACCTACACTGTATATGAACATATTATGACGAACATAAGGTATAAAAACTCCTTTTGGACTCTTTGGATTAAACTCGAAAGCACGATCCAAGTGTTGGGCTTTGAAGCTGAGGCCATGTGAAGGCATGGCCGTTGAAAGCCGTGGATCGGAAGCTTCCAAGGCAGGTCCCGTGATGGTTCCGTGACTCAGAGTGGTTGGAACATGGTGTCTTCGCCCCCTGTGGTTCGATTGGAAGGGCTGTGTGCTTCCCAATTTTTACGTGTGAATCCGTGTGAACAACACTGTCAGTATTCCGGAATGGTGCTCCTTTATCCAGACGGGTTTATTTGTTAAGAATGTGAGTGTTTGAACCTCACGTGTACTTTCATACGTCATTTGCGCATTTTTTGGATAGTCCCTTTTCAGAATTTGCCGCGTATGTACCTCGCGTGTTTTCGTGGGTCGATGTAAAACACACTGTAATTACGACTTCAGAACTGTTCCACGATTCCGAGGGTTTTGGTCGGTTTGGTCGGATGGCACGTTAACTTTCTGTTCAACTTGCACACCCATACAGAAGAAACCCTTCTACGCTACGCTACCTACACGATGCGAGTGACTGAGGGTGGGGTGGGCCCATACAAAGGAAACTCTGCTGCGCTCTGCACACCAATATGCATACTATATAATTTGGAATATTGTGGAGATAAAGTTGGCTTTATACAGGCGTCTATTTTTTATTTCGCTATGTGTTTTCCTCAGAAAATGCAAAATCATTCAAACAACATTGCGGTTTTCACAAACGTGTCACAGCTTTAAGTAAACCCGTGGAGGTTTTATAGACATTTTAGTTGGTAGTTTAAGTACGAAGACGGACACGGAGTCAACTAACAGATTTCTCCTTGAGAGAGCTACTTGTAGAAGATTGTTTTAACAGTTTCATCACGCTGCCCACAAGAGGCGGTCAAAGAGGTCAGGAAACGACTAATCTGGTAACCATGCATGTCTACCTCAAATGGCACATTCCTTAGTTAAAGATTTGGCAGATGTGTCTTCTCAATTTGTCCATTTGACAGATCACTCAAGATCTGTAGCTGACCCCATGCAGGACACCCTCTGGTGCATTGGATCGTCCCTTGGACGGTCCGAAATCGGACGAACAATGGGTCCGGTCGATGCACCCGAACTCAGTCGAAAAGCTTCGGCTGGTCTTTTAGGTGAGAACTCATGTCAGGTCTTATAGAGGTTTTCATGGTTTTGGGATGTTTGTTGGCCTTTAAGTGAGTAATTAGCCGAAATGGTTTACCTTTGACAATCACAATTAGTTGTTGCATGCCGTTTTTTCATCTGAGTGTTTGACAGAAAGTTGCACCAGCACCAGCATTGCACAGAATGCATGTGGAGGATTTTGGGGTGCCGCTGTGGCTGGAAATTCCTTTATGGCTCAAAATCGGGGGGTTGAAATATAGTCAGCAGTCTACATGAAATAGGCTCCCATCCAACCCCCTGGTAAAAAAGGGAAATCGACGATGCTGAGCATTTTGGGCCCCACATTCTATTGTTGAAAGAAATACCTGGACCATGGATGCTCAGAGTCTCCTCAGTTTGAACATGTTTGAACATGTCCGCGCATTATTGAAAAACCTACAGTGGTTTCAGAGTAGATGGCACTGTCCCCCAAAGGATCCCAAAGGTGATTTTAATGGACCCCCTTTTGAAAGACATGTTTGGGGTTGTGCCATTTACGCTGAAACCACTGTACTGCAACACGGGCCACTTGCTCCAAATGCTGGTGGAGGATAGTTTTTGAAAGCCCGATTGAGTGAAACCGCATTGAATTCCGGAATATGCATACCAGCAAAGGCATGGGGCATGTTCGTACCAGCGAAAAGTCAATGAAGAGCTTAATGGTTCAAGCTAGCTAGTTCCTTGGACAATTCAATCTTAGAGTGTTTGGACCTAGACCCCACCCTGGCGGCCCTAGGTGGGAAAGAGGCGTGCTTCATACACACCCGGGGAGCCCTGCACAGGACCGTTGATCCACACATGGGCGTTTGTGGAGGCTTGTCCCCTGCCTGCATGCAGGTCTCCGCGAATCATCATCAATGAGTGTGAATGGGAATGCCCCAAAATCAGAGGCTTGAGACACTTGACAGAGGCATTCTTGACACTTGTCCAGCATCGATTCCATTCTTGACATTGGCCTTCATTGGGCAGTTTTTTCATATAGGCTGAAGCTACGAACGGAACAGGAACGCTACGGACGGAGCATTTTGGGCATCGCTACGAACGGAACAGGAACGCTACGAACGTAGCTGGTCCAACTCTCGGGTCCTCAGTCCAACTGGCCGTCGGGAGGACCATGTCGGCAGCAGCCCGGCTTGGCCAACGGTTCACCTATGTGGAGGAGAAGGCGGAGATGCCTGAACCGTTGCTCGGTTACACAAGTTGTTTGGATTCAGAGTAGATGACAGCAACGTGGTGGAAAACAACCAAAACTCCATGTTTGGACATGGGGAGGCTATGGTGGAATATAGTGGAGGACGTCAAGTGCATCATTTAATGATGGGATTTTCATCGGTTCCTCCATATTTCTTGCAGGATGTTTCTGTTGAAGGATGTTCATCAAAATTCACTGACTGGTTCATGTTTTTGCCCGATGATCTACCGATCTGGGGCTGAATAGTCAAATCTCAAAGGGCCTGCAAGGCAATTGGCTTGTGGAAGTATCGGTTCCCCCCTTTATGAACCCAGGGTCTCAGCCCCACCCAAGTGGTTACGTTTGGTGAAGAGATCTCCAAGAGGTTGTTGAGGATTTGTCACAACGTCATACAACGCCCCTCATTTTCCACCTACTAATGGGTCAGAGACCTAGCTGTGGCCACCACTTTGGCTTTGGAGTATGGCCTGGCCACACCGCTTTAGACTGGTTACACATGGATCCCCGGTGACATACTCTCCCGCTACCTATCCTACCGCCCGACCCACCGCGCCTTGCCCGAGGTTCCGCGCCCTGCCGCCGATTCCGCCGCTCGAGCCCGCCGGTGCCGCCGAAAGCGAGGGCGTTTCGCCGGACGACGAGGGCGAATGCCTGGTGAAGGTGCCGCGGAGTGGCGACGGGACCGGTGGGCCGAAGTTCAGACCAAAGTCATTGCAGCAAAAGGGAGAACTTTGGACTTAGACGGTTCAGGTGTGAGTTATGTGGTGTAAAATGGTGTTTGGGTGTGTTTGGATGTGTTTTGAGGTTCCTTGGGGCAGTTTGACTTCTGGGAAGGGTAGTGGAAGAAGACTCTTGCCAGAGAGCCCGCTCCGTCACGGCGTGTCACTTAAGCCCTTCTGGGCAGCCTTGCAATCGATTGTTCACAAAAAGTTCAATCCCCATGACAATATGACAATATCCTCTAAAACATGGGGAGGGTCCACCCTCCATCTTTGCCAAGGGGATCATGTTCATACTTGGCAGTACTTAGTCCACTGCTCCACTGATGTACAGAGCAAGTTTTCTGCAGCTTGGCTGGCCACCGGGTTCTCCTGATGTTGCCAATGAGTCTTTCTTTGCCGTTGCACTTGCTCTTTCGTCAGGTCCAGCGAAGGAAGAAGAAGCATGTTTCTGGGCACAGAGAAACTGGTTGGGGCTTGGGTTCGGTGACTGAGAAACAGGGTCCCCACGAGCTGTGCGAAGTTGATCGACCCACCGACCCCTTGTTCGATTGATCGACCGACCGGCCCGCTGACTGACTGACTGACCGTTGTTTTGTGGAGCATGCACATTATTGTGACTCTTTTGACATGGAACGTTCATGAACTCAACTTGAATCGTTGGACTTGTGGATGTGTCTCCAACAAAAACTGCCACTGACTCCTTAGACCAGTGGACATCTGAAGAAACGCATGATCGAGGTCACCATGCCAGCGAGGTTGGGTCCCATGGAAGAGCACCTTGGACGGCATTTGCCATGCCAGGCACCAGAATGTTCTGCATAACAGACTGCACGACTACGGGATCTTTTTCACATACCATTTCGACGTCCATCTTTCCAAAATTTGTGAGCCTGACATAGCCTAACTAATTAATTGGATTGAGCTTCTCATTTGGGAGCGCTTATTGTGTGAGAGAACTTCCGCCAACCCGCAAGTAGTCTTAATAGTGAATAATACTGCGCGGTTTCGCTCCACCTCTTGACGGGCCGCCATGGAGGGTTGATGAGATTGATTCTCCTTTGTTTATGTAGTATGCATGTACTATATATATATATTAATATATGATACACACGTAATTATATATATACTCTATATATTTAAGTGTGCAGTGCATGCATATACTCTTGGTGGGGGTGATCAGGTGAAGCGGGCTGCTATTTGTATCGACTTAGTCCGGGTCAATATGCGCCCCAGGCTGCTATCTATGGGCTTTCAGTAAAGAGTATAGGTAACCTCTGTTTGTGTGGACTAGCCTGTTCATGTTGTCAGGTTGTCATTCAGAACGCGTGGCCAGAAAGTTTGGCTGCTGAGACCGCCAAACCAGTTCATGTGGTGGAAAGTGGTCCTGGAAGAGAACATAATTTACATGCTTAGAGGTCACTATACCTGGGGAGTTTGACGTGTCAAAAACTCAGGATGAGCAGCGCTCGAATGGAAGACATTGGCAAAGCAGCGAGGGTCGCTCATTCGCAATGTTGAAAGGACCAGTTCTGTGATTTGCCGTTCTTGAGTAGGGAATGGCGACATGTTGTTCAGGTTTGATGTGCTTTACCTCGGGCAAGGCTGAATTTTGTCTTCTCATATTTACTGGAATGCCTTTCATCACGACATTGGGGGAAACCATCGCGATCCAGGCTAAGTGAGGTTCATCAGCTGATCCTTGGAGCTTTAGTTGCTCCTGAGAACTTTTCAGCCTTCGCTCTGAAGGCTGAAAGACAGTGAAGCAAACCCATAGACGAGCCCGAAAAACTCCCACAATCTCCCACAACTGCGACAAGCAGATTGAATAGGATGTGCTCAGTGATGTGTTCATTCTTTCGGAACTTGCATTGTGTTGGTTGCTTACATCTGGTGCCCCAAACAAGGAAAGTCTTCCAATTCATTTGGTGATGCGTAAAGGTATGTAAAGTGGCATGGCCACGATCCGCTCGTCACCGGCGATTTGACCGTTGGGCCGACCATCCAGGGCCGCTTGCCATCCGAGCCTTTGCTGCCTGACATTGGGCACGGAGCTCAGGTAGCTAGTTGGGTGTTTGACCCAGGAGGTGGAAGGCTCTGTTAGGCTCTGTTAGGTGGACGCCCTATGGCGGGCGGCTGGGGTGGCACACGTCAGACGGTGCCCCGCAGCAATCTCCCCACTTGCGCCAAACATGGCCGGAGTGGTGGAGATGTAGATGAAAAGGAAAAAACAAAGACACGGACAGGTAATGAACACTATGAGAAGTAGGTATAATTACAGCAGTGGGAAGTGGAACCAGGGCCCAACCAGAGCACATGTGGGCGCCAAAAACGCTGCAAACATGCTGCCTTCACCACAAAAGCAGCTCAATCTAAAGCGAGGAAACCCGCGACACGTCGTAATGCACCTGAGGTCGCAATTTTTTTCAAAGCCGCATGAACCTGAGCAGTACAGCGACCAACGTGGAGGATCTTCTGATGCAGAGGCTCCAACTCAAGCACCGGTTCAAGCCACCACTCCCAGCGCAAAGCGTGGGAGACCACGGCCGTGCACCGATGGAGCAGATGGGCCAAAGTAAGTGGGTGATTACAGTGAGGGCAGCCGAGATCCACGTCAAAGCTTTGGTGGCCAAACACTCCAGAGGGAATTTGCCCGGAAAGGCGGGAGAGGTACCAAGCTCGAGTATAAAGCCACTCACGTTTACTCCAGTGGGCCGATGCAAGTATCGCCAAGACTTTCTTCTCCAAAGAAGCATCACGCAGCCAAGGAAATAAATCTTTCTCCTGCGATGCAAGCCAGTCGCGATCAAATTGCAGGAGTTTGGGAAGTACAGCCGACCGTATCCAAAGGCGCACCTTAGACTTACAGTAATGGAGATCGTTGGAGTCACATGCTGAGCAAACTCAATGAAGTCCTCAGAGATCCCAAATCTACGCTCCAATGGCAAGGAATCATCTAACCACGTCGCTCCGGGCACTCGCCGTGCTCCTTCCAGGATGCCGGGAATGGCACTGTGACTGGGCACCATAAGTAACCTAGCCCTGGCGGACAAGATCCGCAAAGCCACCTTGGTAGCAAGATGTAGGTCAATACCTAAAGCACACAAGACCCGGGCATAGCCCCCTGAGCCAAGGGAAACGCCCTCAATACCCAGTGTGGCTTTCAAGGCCCTATAGTGCGCTGCATTAAGCCGTTTAGACACCTGCAGCCACCCTACCGCTGCACTGGCCAGGGGTTCGGTGCCATGTAAAACTGAGCTTTCAACCCTTATGGCCACCTGCTGAGTGTGGTGAGGGAGCCCAATGCCTAGATCACGTAGGGAGACACATAGCTGGGAGGTTTCCTGTATACATATACACACATATATATATATGCATTTATATATTGTACTATATATTATATAGTATATATTGTATATGCTATCATTCTAAACCACCACTTGAGATTTGAACCAAGAGTCTTGACGAACATCAACATGTTGTTTTCCATGCCGCTTTCCTGCACCGTAAACCTGATCTTTGAGCAAGCGACCGTGGCGTAGAAGGACCGGTGGCGTCGTCGTTCCGCTTGGCCCTTCAGGCCATCCAGACCGCTTCTCACCCTTGCTGGAGAGCCAGATTTGCCGGTCGGGGCATCCAAGACTAAGACTGACTCATGTCCAGATTCAGGAAAATGGGGATTGACTATGATGGATTCAATTTGGGGAGTCGCCAGCTACATGTTACAAACAAATTTGAAGTTAGATACAGTATATAGCCACGTAATGGCATCCACCGATGCTTTTTGGTCAATATAGACCATCATTGACCCTTCATATCGCACCCACTACCAACACTTGCGGCCAGATCGGAGACCGGCCCAGGTGATCATGCGAAGAAAGAAGAAAGTGGCCGCTGGGCGGTGGTCCAAAGCGTTTCGATGTTCGGCCTGCCTGGGTGAGCCTACGCGGCAAGAAACGGGTCGCCCGCAACGCAACGGGTCGTTTGAATCCAGGAGCCGGAGCTCGGAGCAAATGACCGGGAGGCCACCCGACTCCCCAAGCAGCAAACTCCAACCAGCCGTTCTGCAACGTTGCCAATCCTGGGACGTTTGCTGACCGTGTTTGTTTTCGGCGGGCATGAAAGCAAACAGCTTTGGCAAGGTTTCAAATCATAGAATTGGATCGAAGACGATGTAAAGGTTCAATACAAAATTTGGGAGAGGCACCAAAAGACATGAAGCCCGGATAAGCCGGTATACCTTCGATGTGATGCTACTCGAGATGTCTCGATACTACTCGAACCTCGTGGCTGGAGAAAGATTGCAATGCACAAATAATGCTTGCACTCCCCGGAACTAACATGGAAGTGGAGTTCGCCCCCTGTGTGTATAGAGGAACCATGTTCAATGTCGAATCCCAATGAGCGTGATTAATTTTGTATATGTTGTTTTGTTTACTTTTCTATTACTGTATATATATATAT